GGGGAAACTTTTGGAATGGGAAGGATTTGTGCAACGCCACTTGGCAGAAGTGGTGGTCCAGAATGTTTGCCGGAGCATGGGCTACTTTAAATTTGGCGGCACAGCCTTTATTGTTATTTTGCAGACGATTTTCGTGTCGACTGTGAGCTGTGCCGCCATTGGGGGCTAAGCAGAAGGATGGGGGCAAAGCAGAATTGCGCCGGGGGCGTAGAGGAACGACGGGGGCGAAGCAGATTTTTTGCGGGGGCGAAGCAGAACGGGGCGGGGGCGAAGCAGAACGGCGGGGGCGAAGAGGAAGGGGTTTCATGGGGGTGTAAAAGGTGGATGACCATTATGCCGTAGTTACGGAGATGGTGGACGCCTTCTTTCTCTCAGGAGACAGCATTTAGTAGTAAGTACGAGCTGGAAGAGATAGCGCACAAGGCTTAGTGATATGTTGGTAATCGGGTTTGTTGTCCTTGGGGTCATGGGTTACCAGGCTGTGTCATGACCTGTGCGACTGACCAGGAAGGCTTGGGACAGGGGAACGTTGCGGTTTTAGTACTACAAAATGCAGCATAATCTGCTCATACTGTCCCAGTGATACTATAAAATGATGATTTGGCAAACCTCAGCAGACTCACTGTGGTTCGTGGTAAAACAACCACAACAAAACCTGCGCGGTATCCCGATCGACGTGCCGACGTTTTGGGTATCGTCCCACACCAAGGGGCTAAAAATCACCTTTTACCTCCGGCCTCCATGGTCGCTTGGAGGCCTACAAGGTACGTGTATGCTAAAATACTTCTTCATGTACGTCTCCTGGGCATATCCTACCAATGTTGTTCCTTTTCTGTGTGTTATTACGTTAGATTTTCCGAGCACGGGTATGTATGACTGTATGTGAACTTCGCGCGGTTGGGGTGGGGTGTGTGTGTGTGGGGGGGGTATTTAGTTTTGGGGTGAGGAATTCTTACATTTATCTTTCATCTGGTATCCAGGTACACGGTGCCAGGTAAGGCTCCGTAGAGGTAATATTTGTGTGGCCCTTTTATTTTGGTATCCAGGTACATGGGTCTGCCTAAATACCTCAACCGACCACAACCGACCTCAACCGACCTCAACCGACCGCGTAATGGGTTAATATGCAGTATACATGGGCTATCAACCTTTTCTAACGCTCTGGATACATTGTCTATGCTTGTATGAATGAAATTTAGAAGCATGGAGGGATCGACATCCAACTATTGAAATAAATGATCTGTCTAGCCACCCCCCCCCCCCGA